CTCGTGTTTATATGTACATATTTTTAAAATCCTTTTTAAGCTTTTGTACATTTATTTCATATTTCTCCAAAATGCCAGTGATATATCTTTTATACAGAACCCCCCCCCCCTCCGTGGCACAGCAATATGTATGCGGACGTATGCTGCTAGAAACCGGATTTCGATAACCGTGGTGGACAGAGCACAGATAGCTCTTTGTGTAGCTTTGTGCTTAATAACAAACAACAATTTATACAGAAATTTAGGTTTTATAACTAGTTGAGTGGGTCGTGTTTAGGTAGATGCAAAGAAACAAACTCCTTCTTAACAATTAGGTGTTTTTAAGGAAAGGTTTAATATTCTGACACTTTGGAGAGTTGCTATGGAGAAGCTCTCAATACATAAACAGCACTAAATACACTGGGCAACAAAAACTTTTCTCTGCTACTAGAAAAAATGCAACTGTTTCTGGGTAATTTGACAATACTGATTCTAAAAATGATTTTTAAAATTATCGATCATCTCTAGTTTTCGATTTATGATAGATTTATTCAACATATTCTTATATGTCGTGAAAGTAACAACTTTTTCTTTGATAATTAAGTTTATTCTTTGAAAATTGCATTTACGAATGTTCAAAAACAATACATAATAGCAATAGAAGTTTATATATAAAGTTATATAATGAAAATAAATTAAGCTATGTTCAAACTTCCATTATCGTATTATTTTTTGTTACAAAAGATCTGCTTGGCTCGCTCGCCTTTCGTGTATGTTCTCAGTTTCACGCTGTAAGAACCAACAGTAATCTTCCTTACCATACTTACCTATCTAAGTTAACTTAACATCAAAAAGATGGGTAAAACATTAACAATAGCTTACTGAAGGGACAACTCCCTTACCATACTTACCTATGTAAGTCAACTTAACATAAAAAGATGGGTAAAACATTAACAATAGCTTACTGAAGGGACAACTCCCTTACCACACTTACCTATCTAAGTCAACTTAACATCAAAAAGATGGGTAAAACATTAACAATAGCTTACTGAAAGGACAACTCCCTTACCATACTTACCTACGTAAGTCAACTTAACATCAAAAAGATGGGTAAAACATTAGCAGTATCTTACTGAAGGGACAACTCCCTTACCACACTTACCTATCTAAGCCAACCTAACATCACAAAGATGTGGACTTATATTTCAAACTGTTTCGTTCTGTATACACATATGTATATATATCACACACACACACACACATATATATACATTACCTAGAGTTAATATTTCTCTATTAGAAAACGACTGTAATGGAAGGGGGTGATAGGATAACCACATCTCTCACCCAGAACAGTCATGTGCAATTACAGTTATTAAACCATATAATGCACCCCTTGTTTGCAATACTTTATTTTACTAAAGTTCACGCTTTGGATGTTACCAAAAAGTATTTCGTGAGTAGCTATTATTTTGTTTGTTTGAATTATATATTAAAAATAATTTGAAGGTTTAAGAAGATCTGTGGAAATACACTGAAATGTCAATGGAATATACTCCAATGAGGATTATCCAAGTAATAACATGAGCAGATATTACAAATTTATATTCCAGATCAGATAGCAGTCTGCATAAAGCATTTTGTTCTTATTTAAGAAAGAATCAAAACAACGGCTTGACTCTTGGACATCTGATTTAAACGACAAAACGTACCTATCTTTATTTCATTTGATTTCAAGTTTAGTTTATTTTAGCGTCAAATCTTTCAAGCTTCTTAAGAACACAATAAATGCTTCTTATTCAGTTGATTTATGCGACACGTCTGTGTTTCCTGATCATCTAAGGTAAAGATGGCCCTAATATTTTAAACTTACACTTCTGCTCTTAGAGTTCCACATTATCAGCTCTAATAAGCTATTCACTATTTCATTCTACAGTAATCGAACTTAAAACAGTCGCTTAGAGTTGCTATTGAAAGGCTATATTATGGTTGCTTTTAGCAGCTGTGAAGATTGAAATACCCTTAAAAGATTCAGTTCGAAAAATTAAGAATTCATTAAGAGTTTCTTTTGGATGTTTAGCAATTAATGTTCGAAACAACCAGTTTTTTACCCCACGAAATAATATGTATAAAGATGAACATTTCATGCCATAAATCGTGTAAAAAAGGAAACAAGAACAATGACATGACCGCTAGACAGTCCTCCCAGCACATGTATACTTAACACTAAATTACCGCTAGACAGTCTCCCAGCACATGTATACTTAATACTAAATTACCGCTAGACAGTCCTCCCAGCACATGTATACTTAATACTAAATTACCGCTAGACAGTCCTCCCAGCACATGTATACTTAACACTAAATTACCACTAGACAGTCCCCAGCATATGTATACTTAACACTAAATTTCCGCTAGACAGTCCTCCAGCACATGCATACTTAACACTAAATTACCGCTAGACAGTCCCCCAGCACATGTATACTTAACACTAAATTACCACTAGACAGTACCCAGCATATATATACTTAACACTGAATTACCGCTAGACAGTCCCCCAGCACATGTATACTTAACACTAAATT